GGAATCCAAAAGTTATTTGGTGAAAGGGAAGGGGGATATGACTTAAGGGGACGCTTAAATTTAAAAGTTCATGCTATACGTACAACCAAAAAAAGATTTTGTATTTCTATAAGTGGGGTCAAATTATGGAATAATTTAACTGTGGACATGAAAAATAGTACTAGAATTGAGGAGTTTAAATATAAATATAAATGTATGTGTTATACAAGATATATGCAAGAATAAGATTTATTCGAGAAGGCATTGAGGAAACACTCTGTTTTATCTATGTAGAGATACTGCTTGCAGCTGATGATGCATGAAATTTTGTAATATGATGTCATGGGGTAGGACTGGATAAGTCTGACTTCTTCCTACTCCATTCAAACATGTATTAGGTGTAAGCAAACTGATTTTGGATTAGTATTGGTTGGATATGTGAAATTATGTGTGTTGTTGTCATTTGTTCATTTGTTCTGTTCTGCATGTTTGAAAGAATAAAATCAATCAATCAATCAATCAATCAATCAATCAATTTAGATGTTTGGCCAGCTAAGGTGGTTCCCATCATACAATCAGTCCTACAGTAAAGCCTCCTTCATGAAGTTGATCATATTCATTGATTAAACTTGTTTAGAGATGTTGATTCAACTGTATGGTCATTTGAAAGGTAAGGAAATGTTCCTGTTATCTCGCATACCTTCACAGACATAAATATGGTGGGCAAATTAACAGCACAGATGTCAGTTTTTTGCTTTTCTCCCCAGAGATCATTGCTTTGTGCAATAGCCTGCTCTAGCAGATACATAATGATGCAAATTCAGCTTCTTAGTTCGCTCCAACTTTGTCTCAAACATATACCTCGACAAGTGTTAGCTCTCAGTCCAAGTTGTTCCCCAAAATTAAACTCCTTAGTTTGCCTTAATTATTGTTGTCTTTAAATTTAATTGCAGCGCCACTGTGGGCGAAGTAAGGCAGAGATTTACATAGGCATCACCAGGAAAGCTGAAAACCCCAGTGCATGACAAAACAAGTAGTTTGCAAGTGCTCTTGTATCTGCATGCACAACTCCACATTTAGGATCTGACAATAACAGACCGGTGCTGGAGTTTAATGAATCTTATTTATACTATTGGTGTTGAATTTGAATCAGTCGACCTGTTAAATGTTTATAAAAACATGGCGGTTCAAGTGGGATGTTATCCTGCTAATTATTAACAACTATGCAATTGCATCTCAGTTCTTCTGCATGAATAACAGTTATTCATCACCAATCCATTTTCATTTTGATGTGACATGTATTGCTGTCTGAAATAAATGAACTGAACTGAAATTCTTACTGTGTTACCACAATATACCACTTTGAGTTCATCAGTTTTCTCAATTTAGATGATTTTTGATGGCCAAGATACAAAATTCATTTGTTTTAATTGCTATTAATATCTTTGGCATATTGCTTTGTAACTAGGGCTCCTGATGCACATAAATGCCTAATGTCACATCTTTAAAACAGAGCTCCGTTATCTTCTAAATTTATCCCAGGTATTCTTTTAGACCCCCTTTTGTGTTTTGCCTAAAAAGGTTAGTGTGTAAAGTCCATTAGAAATAATAATTTGAATCAGGTTTATTGATGCAAGAAAACCTACAAATGCTACAGAGTCAAGTCCAATAAATGGCAGCGTTCCTTTGAAGGGAATGTGGTCCCTGCAGATGGTAGCATTTCCTCTCCCCATTACTGAGTTTAGACTTGGTGCAACAATATAATGAACTCTGGGCTTAATCTGACAGCCCGCGATGGTTCATATTTGTTGTACCATTGATCTGCAGTTTGTCAACAGAAATGATATCACTGCTGGGAAACAGGATGTTATACCCATACAGTCTACACTTTACCATAATCCACCATAATGTGTGATACCATTTGTTATCAGTCATGAATGCTAGGGATTCTCAAAGTCTGTCACATTAAGGACCCTCAAATATACACTCATATGCCAGCAGACCCCATTTGACAAGAACCCATATGGACCCAGGGCCCATATGGGAGACATTAGGCTGTTGATGCATTATTGAATTCAGTTCTGTGCAGAGACAGCAGTGGGTAAAGTGAACTCTCTCTCATAGTTTCTTGGGGATACGTTTTAGTGATTTAGATTACAGGTAAAGCAAACAGTTCCCTATAATCTTTGGAGCCCCTACAAGAGCATCTATAGATACCTGGAGAAATGAAGCTTTCTTTGATGATTTGTTGGGTCTTTCTATGTAATAATAATAATAAAAGTAAGGAATTGACCTTAATATGTAAAGTGTCCTGAGATGACTTTTTTGTGATTTGGTGTTATACAGATAAAATGTAATTGAATTTGTGGTGAAACACTAATTGAAACAATCCACTTGTTAATTGTGACATAACATTCCACTTCTGGGTTCAAAGTTTACCGTTACTTTCATCAGTGTATATGTTATATTTGTGCTAATAGCTAGCTACATTATGAGGCAACTGATGGCTCTGACCATCAGGGGGGCAACTTGGGGATTCAGGGTCTTGCCCAAGGACATTTCAACATGTGGACTGTAGGCACCGAGATTCGAACCACCAACCCTCCGGTTGGTGCTGCTCTACCCACTGAACTACAAGTTTTATTCTGATTAAATTGCATTAATTTAAGATCACTATGACTTGCCTAATCAGTTGTAGCCAATTCTTTTTCTCCTTCCCATCACAAAGAAAGTGGTAAAATAACAACTGATCTGTAACATTTGATTCAGATCTATTGAAACAATGGGGAACACAGCACTGTAGCATACTGAACTGAGGAGGATGAACCAAAGTTAAGTGCTTTGCAAACAGATAGACCACACCTGACCACACCCCACTGTATTACACCTGTTTAGGTGCCCAGAGAGGACAGTGCAGCCAGGAAACAGTGAGCTGAAACAGAATTTGTTTACCAAAACAGTACCTATCGTGACAAACAAACTTCTAATATTCACATAACAGCAGTGAATGGAAACAGAAAAATTCACTTTTTTGAAGATTTTCCCAAAATTTGTTTAAATCGTGTGTTACATTTGAAAGGACAGTTAGCTACTGATGCAAAGCAAACAAAGAAGCATCTGCAAATCCTCGCTTTTGGAAAGGTGAAACCGCTGTTGCTTAATGAACCGACTTAAATTATTATTTGATTTCAAAATTGTTGGCAATTTTCTGCCAATGTACTAATCCATTAGCATAATGAAAGAAAATAGGAGGAAGGGGGAATATGCATGCTGGGAGAAGCAGGAGGTTAAGACGTTGAAAGAGTCTGAAAACTCTGCTCACATGTGACTTATAAAGCTGATTGGACTAAAGCAGCTGGTTGATTGTTACCAAGATTTCTGAAACAAAGAGGAAAAAGACATTTCTATGTCCTTTTCCTCAGACAACAGTTTCCTTAGACATTTCTTCACAATGCAGCCAAGCAACAGCAATCTAATCTCAGCTTCTTTCTTCCAAATACCAGATTGAGATCGTCCACAAGAACCAGGCCCCCATGTTGATGGGAGCGCCACAGAGCCGAAGCTTCTTCTCCTCCTTCATCACAAGGACGCGCACTGAGAGCAAAGACTGATGCTACATGGTTCAAGAACTTCAGGTCCTCACAAGCACCTGCAAAGCAGCGATCACAAGTTGATCATCACTTGGCCCGTTAGTGAAAGGGGTCTTTGAGGCCCGTTCGATAGCCCAGCACACAGTAGCAAGCTGTAGGTTCAGCATGTGTTGCCTGCACCATGAGAAGTCAACCTTTAATCCAGAGTGAGGTGTGTTCAGGACTGATGCTTTGATCTGCAGTGTGTAGTGTAGTTTAGCTCCAGAAATACTGAAGCTATTTCTGGAAGTCCACCTCTGAAACTTTTCTAAAAGTTACTTTTTATTTTTGCTGTTGTGATCTGTGCCACGTGGAACCAGTCCACAGAAGAATGTGTGATGTGATATGATGTATTTATTTTATTTATTCGTGTTTTGCTGCTATTAAAGTTTTTTGCATTTGCATACCCCAGATGCATGATGGACAGTGAAAGCGGTTGGCGCTGTTGGAGCTGACATATCTGGCGTTTGCAGCTGATCTTTCCCAAGTGAGATTAGTAAGAACTGAAGTTGTTCTGCTTCGTGTTTCTTCTGCAAGTGAAAAAACTCACTTGTGCTTTCTTTTAATGGTTCCTGCAAGTCATCGTTGTCATGCTTTGATCTGTCGTCAGTGAAAAGATTAGGAATGATTTTGATCATTCATTAAAAGAAATGCATGACACTCTTTATTGTGCACGAGATATTTTTCAGACAGTTTTACAGACTGTGTGCACTTTCTTTTGCATGGGTGACCAGGATCTGTTTTGACACTTGTGGAAATCGATCGTTTTTGAATCTACAGTGCTGCTCTGCTCAATCGTATCAGATGTTATTTATGAGATGGCTGCATTTTAGGGGATCCAGTTTTTTCAGAATAATTAGTTTACTCAGGTACTTTTAAAATGAAAACCAGTGAAAAGGCAACACTAGTGTTGGCCTTATAGTTGGGTATTTACAAGAAGCACTTTGACTTCCTCTGGTCATTGATTTGTTCTGATGTTTACAGTTGAGTTTTACAGTCTACTGCACATCTAAGCGTACATTAACCAATTAAAGCATAATACAAAATGACTATTGACATAAAGTACAAGCCTGATTTAAAGAATCAGTGCTGCAAATCAGCCCATCCGGTAATTAACAGTCATGTGTGCACACACCAGTTATAAAAGATTTCTTTGTGCACCTCTTGGAAAAACTGAATGATTTAAACTGTTTATTTCATGTAAGAGTTTCCTTATACAACCTAAGTGAGTCAGTACATTTCTGCATTCATTCTCACCAAAGACAAACTCTTGCACCACTAGAATTTTTTGGTGGGGGGGTTGTTACATGCCTGTGTGACACACGCCTGGTAAATGTCTTGTTTTTAACAGAACTGCACACCCGCATGTTTTCTGAGAACAATTTTAGGCTCGACTGTTTCAGTCTGCAAGTGCCATATGGCAGTGGAGACTGAGGTCGGAGCCTGCCTTCTCTATGCTTTGTACGGTGCAGCATTTGTAGTGAGTGAGGTTGTATTTTTGTACACAGTATTCTTTATCTTTATGCTTACTGCTTCATTGTAGAATTCACATCCTGATGTTCTGCCTAAAACAAATTCTGCCTGCCAATGGTGACTCGAGTGATAATGGAAATAATAAAAAACTTTTGTTGTCTGACACAGTGTCCTAGTGTTCTTAGTATTATTATTCTTAGTATTTGCGACCCTCTAATGCTGCATTCGCACAATGTCAGTTGGCCCTTTGTCTAAACGCTTTTTCTTCTGCACTGTCAAGGTCATATGTGAAGCAGGAGTCGTCTTAAAGTTGAAATTCCCCAGATCTAAGTCCATGGAGTCCAAGAGTTCAGTGAACAGAAAGTGGTAAAAGAGTGATTATATACCGTAGATGTACATGAATATGATAAACCTACACGTTATGTAGGCACTTAGTATGTATAGGATGGTCTTAGGATCAGATGAGCTCTCCCCAGGGGTTTCCTTCTGGCATCCAGTGGCACAGTGTTCTGGCTCAAAACCACCCCCTGTCAGAGGTGGTGCGTTAACCTGCTAAACAGGATGTTTGTGATTTGCAGGTGAAGACATTACAGTGTGTCTGAAACAGCATTCTGCTGGGAATGAAAAATACTGTACATTGAAATATAGCCAATAAAGGCTGTTTAACTTGTTTTTGCCTGGTGGAGAGTGCCTGAGTGAGATGAGTGGTATTCAGTCGGATCTCACTACTTTTTCATTTGTACTGTTGAAAGAAAAGTGTGGTAAATGCTAAAAGAATGAAACTCTGCATTTTAAACTTGCACATTGGCCTGGGCAGCAACACAGTCCCAGGTCAATACTCTCTGGTCCTTCAGAAAATACTGTATGTTTGTACTTCCCATACAAACACAGAATTTCTGATTAAGGAAGACCATTTCTTCTTGGTTACCTTGGTGAACTGTGCCAAAAGCCACCAATTTCATAGCCTTCATCTGGGAACATACTCAGTTTAGTGAACTACCTCTGATCAGCTGTTGTGGAACAAAAAACTCAGAGTTTCTCATCTTGTTATTGGTCAGTTCAGAGTTTGTTAAACCATCCTTCTGGATTACCCCTCAGATAAATAGTTTAAAATAACTACTTTTGTTGTGTATTTTTGTTAAAGTGAAGCCAGATACAGTACAAGCAGCACTGTATAGCTCCTATAAGATATATTTAGTTGTAACTGCCAGCCGTGCTGTGTTTGGAGTTGTTCTGCCAACAAACGAGAGGAAGAAGTTGACATTGTTAGAAATTCCTGGTATCTGTGATTCAGAACCAACGGTGTCAGTGAAAAGGCTTTTTAAGATGTAAAAAGAAATCTTTCTCTCTGGAGTGGTATTTGGTTTGCTGTGTGTCTCGGTGTCCGATGGGTAGATGTCTACACTAGACCCGCGGTTCTCCATCCTCTGGGGATTCAGTACGAGTGATACAGTCCTTCACTTCACATCCACTTCACCCGCCTGGTCATGGACCCCTGCCTGGATCCAAGATGGCATTAGTGCAACCACTGCTGACTTCTGATATGTCCATCTGACTACACAGGACATACTGTAGAAAAAACTAATAAAGTTCATAAGATGCATTAAATATAACAAGAGGGAAAACTCAACAATATGGGAACAATTACAAAAACTACAGTCAAGTGTGGTGTGTTAGATTAGTTGATTTGTAAGGTACATTCACCGGCCCCCTTATTAGGTACACCTGTACAGTTGTATGCAGTTCAATGCAATACTTCTGCCTTAATATCTGAGTAATATCTATTGTGAAATTGTCAATGTATCAATTGAATCATATGTTTATTATTGAGGTCATGGCTAAAGGTGGTGTTGCACTGGACCACCTTATATTATATTCAGAAGTGTTCCTAATATTCTGACCCTCTCATGTATGTAGCTGGGGAGAACAAAAATATAGAGACACCTCTGAATGTAAGTACAGCAGCACCTTTAACTATGACCTCAATAATAAACATTGATTTCTATAGATTTATGACAATTTCAGCAAAAGCAGAAACATTTTGAGCTTCATAAACACAGATCTTCAGGTGGAGGTCTTGCATTGAGGTGCATATGATCTTATCTTAGTGTGTTAGGAGATTAAGTAGTTGTAATGCTTTCTTTGAAACTTGTCAGTTTTGCCCGGTGACCTGTGCTTTACTTCCAGGTCAGTGCATCCTGCAGGTCTTTGCCACTCTCAACAATGTATCTGTTACTGGAGAGGAAGGAGCTGGCGCTGCAGCAGGGCCACCCGGAGGCTCCTCAAAACGCTGTTACCATGGACGCAAACCTGACAGGGAGAGGAGTGTGTTTGCGTGAGCCTGCTGTGTGCGAAAAAGAAGAGAGGAAAGAGAGAACTGTGTGTGAGGGGAGGGGGTGTGCAGGTGCACTTTGCATGTATCAATTTAAAAGCATAATAAATTAAGCTCCAGTTTATTGGTGCCATTTTCTGTAATTAGGTCCAAACTTAAAAAAAAGAAAAGCTGAGCGCCTGACACCTCGGTGTTGCCCATGAGTTTTTCCCGTGCTCACCGCCTGCAGCCGTGCGTGATTGACTGCCAGCAGTCCGATCCAGTGAAAGACATTGACAACCAATAGGAAGAGGAGAGCGGCTTTTTTCCCTTGGGGGGCCCCGGGGGGTTTTTTAAAGCAACACAGTGAGCGGGGAGAAGCGCAGGCAGCAGCCGGGACTGTGGAGATCCGTCAGCCGCTCCGTAGCACTCTGCAGGCGGATGAAAGCGGCGCCAAGTCGCTGGTAAGAGCTGGTCGGTTTTCATACTTCCTCCACTTTACAAGTTTATTCTCTTGCGCAGAAACAGCTCGGCGCGCTCGTTTAGACAGGAAATTTGCAGATTGTCCGTTTAACTTTACAGCATCGCCCGAGGTGTTGTCGGCAATTTAAGTATGAAAAACAGCAGTAAGATATTAATGTATCCCGTCTTATTAAATAAAACTCGCTTTTTCACCCAGGTGAGATGACAAAGCGTAATGTTCTCTCTCCCTCTGCTGTCTGTCCATGTCAATTTATGAAGGGCAGGACAGGAGACACTGGAGACTTTGCACATCCCTCATCAGTTAAAGCCACTACGTGCAGAATGGACGGATTTCACGATCAGCAAGTGCCTTATTGTAACTCCAAAGTGAGTGAGTGAGCAGTGACTGACAAAAGTTGCAACCAAATCCAACCTTCCCTGTCCTCATCTAACTCTAAATCTATTAAAGAAGATGCTTTATTATAGTTCATCTGTCTTTCACAGCCTCTTCAGCCTTTTGTTGTGAATGTCTGTTCGCTCTCTGATACTTTGCTTTTGATCCCATCTCAGTCTTTATCTCTGCTGCTGCCAGGACTCATTTCTCCCTCAGGGACCATTTCAATGTCCTCCTCCTTTAACACTCCTTTACTTAGTGTTATAGGTTATACACCATGTTGCAACTTCTTAATTACTTCTAATAAGTGAAGCACATGTCCCTCTGCATGTGACAGGTGGTAGAAGTGTGTGAGGTATCAGTGAGGCTCTTTGCTCTTTCTGCTGCACCTGTGCTGCAGCCTACAACAGAATCACTGCTGCAGTGTGGAAAAGAGAAAATTGATTTGCGTCTTTTTGTGTTCTCGCAGAAGCTGCAAGAAAAGACGATGAGCTGCGAGAGGGCAGCAAATAACAGAAAGAGAAAATTCATTAATTCCACCCTGGCTCTGGACACCGAAGGTAGGCAGAGGGCAGAGGGAGAAGTTAATTTCACGGCTCCTAAACATTTAGCAAAATTCAATTGGTTTGTGGCCACCTGTGCTGCTAACTACAGAATCTCAATTACAACACAGCGGCCTGTGATGATTCTCTCAAGCCTCTGTCTGTGGTCAGAGACACAAATTGACTTGTTATTAGCCGCACACATGCCCACTGAGCTCCAGTGGCTCTGACAGCATATCAGTCTGCTATAATGAAGTCAGTTGTTTCTGATGCTTCTCCTGGGCTGTGACTGTTTTGTAACTGTCTTCAAGCCTTGTTCTCTGCTTTGGTTTCCCCTCCAGAGCTGTTCCAGGACCTCAGTCAGCTGCAGGAGACTTGGCTGGCAGAAGGTGAGTGTTTTAAATCTCAAGCAAAAAGGAGGAGAGATGGGTAAAAGTGGATAGGTTGTGAGGGGGGAATAAAGCTGCCTGGAGTTACATGCCTAGCGTCGCAGTCCAATTAAAAGCCTGTGTGGAAGAGGCACCTTGTGTGTCATGCATACATTAGGGACTGTGAGCGAGGGGTCTTGAGGGAGACCGAGGAGGCTCTACCCAGAGAGTGTCATCACAAATTACCAGGAGAAGGCTCTCCGACGCTCACTGTCTCTTCTGCTTTTGGCAGGAGCTAACGTGCCGCACGCCAGCCGCCACCTCCACCTCTACCGGGGCTCTGCTGTAGTCTACCATCTCTCTCTCTTTCTGTCATCTGCTCTCTCTCCCTTTTCTCTGTCTCTCCCTCCCTCTCTCTCTCTCAGCACACCTCTCTGTCTTCTACATCTGTACCATCAGCTTGTCTTCTTCAATTTCATTTCTTGGTGGCAAAAAAAGGAATGGATCTATAATTTATTTTTTTAAATCGCAAACTTCTGAAGAAACAGACTTATTTTCTCAAAGCGACAGTTGATTTTTTTTTTTCAAATAGTTATCCATTTATTTGCTTTATAATATATTTTTGTCTCTATGGCAAGACTTGCTCACTGTGGTGTAACTGAGACGTGATGCTTCAGGATTTAAGTGCAAGTGTCCTCTTTCCACCGTGTCTGCAGCACCGAAGTTTTGGTTAGTGGTGAATATTGTTCATCTGTTGTTTGACTTGACTGTGTTTTTATGTGCATGTGTGTGCATGTTTGACTTGGTTTCTTTGCTTGACTTGTATTTGCATCTCCCTAAACTGCATCTTACTTTGAATACTGCATGTAATCTGAAAGTATATGGCTCAGTCAACTGAGAGTTGGGTATTATTACATTGAAATTGGAATATTTCCAGGTTTCTTATAAGAAGGTTTGGATTTGCTCTGTCAGTGCAAAACCAGAAATCCAGACAGAAAGTAATTTACTATAGTTGCTTAGAAATTGTGATTTTAACTAGTTGTTGCGTGTAGATGAATCTGAAAACTAAGACAAAATGCCAGTATTTTCTTTGCAAATGGGCCCCAGCACTTTTGTAAAAAGACACTGTAACAACTGCATCTTCCTTTTACTCCATCGCACTGGTGTGTATATACAGTTTAATAGGAAAAGAATAAAAGAAACTGTTTAATATTAACAGTTTGTGTTCATTTTTAAAATCCTTTTTAAGTTCAAGTGTAAAATGTAATGCTTTTGAAAAATCACTTTTAATATGTAAAATAACTGTTTGGATTGTGATTTAGTCCTTGAATAGAAATTTTGATAATGATAAATTCTGAAGACAGACAGACATTTACTGTAATAAACCACAAATATTAACCTTTAACCTGTTTAGTTTCTCTAAAATGAGAATTACAATTTGTAGTTTTTGAAATTCTTATTTTCCTGTTACAGAGATGGAGGAATAAACCTGTCCCAGAAAATATCTGTTTCAACACATCAGTCAGTGAGCACGCTGTAAAACCATAGTTTTAAAATAGTATTCTCAAGTGCACGGTCCAATTGAATCAACTTTAATACTTAAAAAAGAATTAAGTTGTAATACATCCCCTGGAAAAGTGACAGGAAAAATTTTAGCCTGCACCGTACACCCAGGTGAAAAAGACTCAATCATTTATAGGCTCCATCTATTCTTTAACACATTTGAAAGTGCTGGCAGTGCAATCCAAAGCTTTTTAAAAATGAAAAGTATTCTTTCAAACAGATATTGGAATAGTTGAGCCGACTCTGAGCAGCAGTTACATTATGAGGTGGCGTGCACACCGCAGGGCGTGTAAAAGAATAAGATGCAATTTTAATATTTCAGTATCCAAAGTGAGAAAAGGAACGGCGGCGGCGACTGATAAGAGGTATTACTGTTAAGGATTACAGTCCTGCCTGTCACGGATCAATGTGATGATGTACGCTTCAACATTGTAGATTTAATGAATGACTTCCTGTCCATTAAGATGAAAAGGAATACCTTCCCATTTCTAAGATTTATTAGTTCAGGTAATTGGAACATGAGGAATTATGAGAGACGGACTGAATTTCCGACTCCCAAGGCCGAGAGGTTGAAGGAGTTCATCAGCTGACAGGCTGATTGACCCTCCCCCCCCCCCAACCCCCCCCCAAACTACAACTAGCCTCCTCCTCCACTCAGGTTTTTTTTTGACTCATTCACAGTAAGTGTCTTTCTTGCCAATAAAAAGGCTTATTCTTTAAAGATTTCCCACTTTAGGATTTTTTTTTCTTTTGTTAATGCACCGATTTCTGGTGCATTAACAGCTTTTTCCTTTTCATGCTCACTCCTCCTCCTCTTCTGCCCCACTCTTTCTGTTTGTTAGTTTGTTAGTTAGTTTGTTTTGTTTTGTGAATGGCAGCAGGTTTCCTGCTCTCCTGTTCTGCCCAAGAGTTTGTTGCAAGGTTAAACTGGCTCACTCACAGACTGAGGCTGGTGCCTTCTCCATCCTGTACTTCCCTTTAGACACAGAGACTCTGCTGCCTTCATTCTTTGTTGTTGTTCTTGTTTTCTTCGCTTCTTTCTTTGTCCCTTTCTAAGTCAGGTTCTCTGAAGTGTCTGAGTTTGTTTGTGTTGTAATCATGAGACAAGAGCCGACCCAGAGTTCCCCTCTTTTATTTTTGCTTGTGTTGGTTTGGCAGATTTGACTGGTGTGGATTTGACTGCATAAGGGGAAAATAGAATTAGAACATTTAGGCTTTTACATGGTTTAATTATGATTTATTATGTAAAGACTTTGTTTTAATTTACTAAATTATTCAGATGTTTACGTCATGGCCCTTCCAACAAGGTGGAGTGATACAGCAGAGTAGCCCTAGTTGTTTTCAAGATCAATAGTTATTCAGTGAGACTACAATACATATTGTGTTTAAAAGAATTTCATGCAAGAGTGGTTTTACTGCTACACTGCAGCAGAGTCTTGGCTGAAATCATTTCAACGTCTTAGTTTGCTGCTGTCTTCATCCGCTTGACATTGTTGGAAAATATGGAGCGATGTCTCCTCTTGATCTGTTGATTGTTTACTCTCCTCAATTCACACCTCTGCCAAGGAAAAAACATCCCTGATCATATCAGGACTGACAAAAATGGAAAATCTGTTTTTTATAACGCTCTCTAGACATGTCGAGGCTTGTTACTGATACTGTGATAATGAGGACTCACCTCATTGTGAGTATAAATAGATGTGCTAATGACATATTTAAATCTCCTTTTGCCTTTCATCAGAGAAAGTCAAACTTGAGGGACATGAGGAACTGACACCAAGTGTAAATATGTGTGATATAAATATATAGATGCCTAATTTGCACCAGTGCGGAGCAGGCTTCATTATTTTAGCATTAGTCTGGGTGCAGGGGCGTTCGAAGCACAGGTGAGGCGTTGGAAAGCTTGGAACAGACCTAACTCGGCAGGTACAGGTGGATTCACCAGTAGGGAGGAAGCCAATTAGATACTGTTATCAATGGGTGTTTGGCTGTTGGCAAAGAGCGAGAGCCGGGCCGCGGAGCAGTCAATGGACCAGGCGACCTCAGGAAGTGGAATTAGGAGGTGGACGGTCACCTAAAGCAAATTTTTATCTCCCACGCATGCAGGCATTTGTTGGAAAATGTGCTTCATTGTAAATGATGAAAAACATATTCCTCAAAATATTTCAAGATTATTTTGTGTATTGCTGTTGTCAGATCTGTAATTTTGTTGTATCTCCTGGTTTGCTCTTCTGTCGACTCATACAAGTCAGATTTTATTAAAACTAATGTTAAAATCTAAATATCTGAGAAAGTATTTTTAAATATGAGTGAAGTGACTCACAACACAATAAGGCATTAGAATCAGGAACAGTGTGTTGAGATGTTATTCCTTAGAACTCTAAGTGAGCATGGATGTGAACATTTAACTTCTAAACAACTGTAATTCCATTGTCTACTGTCGAATCTGCTGAGGAACACTGAGCAAAAGCTTCAGGGTGGCTACTCAATAGACCTTGTGTGAAGATTATTTTGCCTTGATTCATGAAATATTTTCTTAAAAGAAATTATCTTCTATTTTTTTTACATATTTAAAATATAAATAAATAAATAAAACTTCCAGATTAAATGGTAAGAAAAAAGATTTTTGTCATGAACCTGAGACTGTTAAAGCACGTTAATACCTTATTGTACATAACAAAAACATACCAGGTCACAAAAGAGAAAACAACCGTTTGTTTCCCTGATTTCCTGTAAACCATATTTTTCACAGCTGTGTTTTGAACTCAGAGCAGAGGCGAACAGTGCCGGACAGGCAAACCTAGCATCCCAGGAGACTGCCTGAGGAGGGTGAGGTGATCAATGCTGCATTGTCCATCAGCATCAGAAACAATCATTCCCTTTCTTCTTCTCTGCTTGTGTCTTTAGCTCAGGTTCCCGACAATGACGAGCAGTTTGTTCCAGACTTCCAGACCGAAAATTGTGAGTAAGAGACCACGTCTCTTTTCTCTGGGCCTCTGTGTGTTTGTGTGTCTATGGTGTTTTGTTTTTTTTTCATTCTTTCTCGACTGTTTGTACTTTGGGAGAGTGCACATGGCAGTGTGTGTTTTTCTCGCCATACCCTCACCTTTGCTCACACAAGTGCAGTCTGGGGAGCTGCAGCAGTCTTGCGGGTCTGCAGACAGGTGCCTCTGTCTGTTTGTCTTCGCTCTGTTGCTCATGTACCTCTCACCACCACCGAGATATTATTGCAGTGTGACAAAGTATTTGCATAAGGAAACATCAAAATATAGTGGCTGTTGTTTTTAGGGGCTGGGAGTGATATTTTTAACTCCAGGCAGGCCAAACAGCTATGAGCTGATGGCTGTTTTGAAATTTTTTTTATTATATAAAATCTTTTTTTTAATTCTCCTCTGTGGTCTTTACTCGCAGTGCTTTTTGTGCAAACCATCCAGTGTGGTTAGATTTTCGAAATCAGGCAATGTAATACTGGTAATTACTACATTTATCCCTTTCAGTGGAAGCTTTGTTGGCCTTCATGTACACTTCCCTCTGTCTTTGTTTTTTTCCTGCAAAAGAACACAGTTTGTTATTTGAATACTCCTCATTGACTTGATTAAAAAGCATAGTTTGCAGACTTAGGCTGATTTTATGATGGCAATAATGTGGATGAGGTAGTTAGACATACTTCACCTGCTTCACCTGGCTGTGCATGGTGGCTGCACGCAGCGACTGGTTACTTGGCACCGTCCACTTCTGGAGGAAGTAGTGCCAAGTTGGGGACAGAAATGGAGCAAGTGGAGCTCAGTGGGACCTCGAGTGAGCACATGTCTTTCAAATGAGCCAAAACAACCATGAAACTGAGAAAAGACACAAAACTGCATGGCCACACCCTACGCCTTCTTTATGTACCCAACACTCTTTAACCTGGAAACAAAGTTGAGCAAAATGCAGAAATGAGAATTCTTAGCTACAGTAAAGAGACAAGGTCACCCAGAGTAGACAGATCATGTTTGATCACCGAAAACATTTGGGTAAAATTAAGCAGCGACAGATCTGGGACCAAGTGAGATCACAGTCCCTTTAATCTCATGTAAGCCGGGTCGCAGCCTAAGGTCCTTGAGCAGGTTCCAGACAGGTGTAAAAACCAGAGGGAATGTTTTCTTCCTTTCTTTTGGAATCAGTCGTCCTACATCTTGAGACAACAAACCTGAGGAGCTCAGGCTGTCAGGAACACGGTCCCCCTTTTAGACACTAAGGAAAAGTCATTTTTAAAATGTGACAAAATGGCATGTGTAATAAACCCTTAACTTTATGTGTCACACTCTGAATTTGCTCTTTCTTACTTCATTATTAAGGTGCTCCAGAGACTGAATAAAGTAGACCTAAATTAGATCATATTGATCTATAGTTGTAAGAGTGTGCTAAAACAATTAAAACTCATCCTCACTTAAATCCTTGAAATATATTTCTCCGTCCAGTTAGTTTCATTAATCTGACTTGATCTTGTGTCGTTTAGGACACACCAAAACACTGCAGCTGTATGGCAGCCTGTCTCTGTAAAATCCAATTTGCGATTGTGAATTGCCTACTCTAAAATCCAAGATGGAGGAGCGTTGTGGTGTACAGTGGAGAACCAGAGGTCACAGAGACTGTGCCGTTGTCCTTCAGAGGTAGCCAGGGTGGGTGGCCACGGTGGCAGGAGACTGCTGACCATCTGAAATGTCCTGCTGGCAAACCTGCAGCAAACTGGAGAGGCACTAACAGATGGTGGGAGGGTGAGGGCACCATGGTTGGCGCTTGAGCAGACATCCCAGCCGGCAGCTCTCCCATATGGGTTTCACCGAGCCGAGAGATGGAGGTGCAGATGGGGAGACTGAGAGGGTCAGAGATGAAGACAGAGAGAGAAATACGTAGAAGTCATACGTGAAGAGAAGAGATTGAGTAAAGGTGGATGTAACTAATTCCACTCTGTAAATGTGAAAGCAGCCTTGATGTGTTCTTTGTAAGGCTGCTATAATAATGTTAACAAATCCTATAGAAAGACCAAAACCAGCAGTGAAGTGATCCTACAAAAAGTATTGCCCGTGTAGCCCACTGTCATCAAAAACTATTAGAAACATTTACATAAGTCAGACATAAGTCATAATTGCTGCAAACATGGACATGGACTTTTTTGTGGGAGGTTGTTTAGTTTTGTCTTCGAGTCAATCCCACACAAACCATCCTGTTGCTATAAATATTCATTAGTGCAGTAATCGGCAGCTGAAAATGGTGCACTGGTAACTGGTGTTTGAGCAACCTTTGTTAAAGACCATAGTACCACGAATCATCGTTTATTTTGAGCCAATTTCAAATCCATGGCTGAAAATAATACCCAACAAATGCATCATTTACTCTTGTTTGAGTAATGTTTGTAGCAAATGCACTGGCATATAGAAAATATAAATTAGATTTTTGTGATTTGTTTCTAAACAAGTACTGTACTTTTTCAGATTGATGTGCTTGAGGCTTTGTTGTTGCAGCATATTGAGAGACTTTCTAAAGCAGGGTTGGTGTTTATCGTTTAACTGGATTTGTTGACAATAACAAAAAATACGGAATAACAGCGGCCTTATTTTTAAAATAATTTAGACTCTTTTTTTTGTTTACAGTCTATGATAGTAGCATAGTCAGCATTAGCCAGAAGTCAGTTGTCGTGTTAGCCTGACTAGAAAGCTTTCTATTTCTGTTACAGTAGCATTAGCAAAAGAATCAACTAGCATAGTAAATAGGAATTTATTTTAGTAAAATATTCTGACAGGAATTTAATTATCTTTGGAACCTTATTTTTATTAAAAGGAATCCATTAAAACATACAGAAATTTGTAGTGAAATTGTAGCACATGCAAAGTACAAATACAAATATTAGCCTTAAAAGCTGGCAATAGGCTAATTCTCAGATGTTTTCTCTTTATATGTATTTGTACTTCCATGCCATTTTGAATTGCCTAGCTACTTTTTAGTATCACATAAATTCCTTTTACAGTACTCTAGTAGTTTTACATCCGCTTCAATGAAATTAACCGCAACAATAAAACAGCTGTATTTTTTGCATAGTTATGTGTTTTGGTATTCTTTTCAGTTTATAGCTAGAATGGGAATAAAAGGTGGAAACAGAAAAAAAACTTAAGCTAGAGGGTTTGAAAGAAAGAACGGAATGTGCTGAGGAGTATTGTAGATTCAAAGATTGTATCTGAAAGGCAGGTTTTTCCCATAAGTGTTATTTTATCATTTCATGGCCTCCTCTCGAGAAGCAGTGGCAGTTTTGCTCAATGTCACCATCAATGCAGCACAGAAGCAGCATGTGAGTGGCCTCGAAGCAAAAGTGTCCTCAGGCTGAATGAGGAGAAAGAGAATTTTCTTTGTTTCAAACTCCAACACTGATGCTTACCATTAGCATAACTTAGCAGGGAACGAAGGAGTAGAGGAGGTGTAAAATGAAGCCACACGTTACCAGCAGATCTGAGCCTTCATCATTTAACAGGAAAGGTGAGCACCTACAGTAGGTGAAAATGGAATGGAAGGTTTTTCACTGTTGCCAAAAGACCTGTGTTTTTTTTATGAATGGACTGGAGAAATATCTGCCAAACATATTCTGCCAAAACACACAATTTGTACCTGAGAGCACACAACGTTTGGGGCCAAGAGTTCTTTGATAATGCAATAAAAAGGTTGACAGGGACATGGCAGGTAAAATTAAATAACTAGAACCAGGTTTTGTATGAAAATATAAATCTTGTATCTTGAATACTAAATCTTCCTTTTATTTTTTAAAGCAAAGATCTGTATTGAATCTGTACACCAAAGACAAAACAAAGTACAGAATATTTGAGTTAATGGCACAGGGGGAAAAAAACATTTGCATTCAAAATAGACCCAGTAATTGTTCCAACTGCTTCTTCTTTTAAACACCCTACCATCTTGGTTAATCAATATGTAGATAATGAGAGCAATCAAGCAGTGATGGGCATGACATTCTGGACTAAAAAGGAAGTCTCTGTTTTAGTCAGAGGCAATGCCTTTGCTATTGATTTGTGTACCTTGGCACCCCACTGACGAAATCTATTGCGACATTTCCATTCCTAATTTAAGGCCCTGTGCTGCAGCACACGTGATGCTATTGTTAATCGCTGAAGTGATGCTTGTAGTTAGACGCAGCACTCTACAGACTGCTCATATATTTCATTATAAAGTGCAATACATTTGGGGTGGCTGTGGCTCAGGAGGTAGTGCGATTGTCTTCCAAGCGGACGGTTGGTGGTTCAATCCCTGGTGGCCAGGCAGTAACTGACAGCGCTGCCATCAGTGAGAAATTTCCCTACGGGACCTAATCAAGTATCAAAAAACGTAATAAAAAAAAAGTATCTGCAAATCAGAAGTCAATGAAGTGGGAAAAGAAAATTCTTGTGCGTTTACTGCTCCCGGTACTTAAAGTGACACTGATTGTGATCTCAACAGGCAGAAGTGAAGTATTGTTTTGATTTCATAAGCCCTTAACGAGGTTCTTCCATGCCAGCATCGTCAAAGGTCTCCCCGCTGGAAGTGTCTCTTTGACCTCCAATCGATGACCCAGAAAGGTCAGGCCCCCAGTGAGGACTGCGAACAACCCCTGAGCTTTATCGCGTGGGCCCGCATGGCCAGTCCCCCAGGGGCTCGGCTGTGCGTCACATGAGGTGTTGGCAGATCGACCCCTGCTCATTCGGCAGCTGTCAGTAAGAAGACTCCCCGAAACATCCTCTTCACTCAGCTCCTCATAGCCTCAGACACCTGTGGGTGCTTTCTTCTTTTTTTTTTTTAAATATTCCCAAACCACACATTTGGTATTTGGACCCTTCAAATGCTTACTTTACTTAGACCAGGAGTTGATGGATTTCCTTCCTGAAATCATAATTTCTTTGTTTTTAGCCTGAAACATCAGTCCCAAAACCATCCCTGTCAACCCCGACTGGCCTTCTCTCATGTTTGATAGAGCTCTGTGGGATGGCGAGGCAGTCCGGGCCTGACTTCGTTCTGACTGACTTGGTTTTCATCAGAAGCGCAGCCAATTGGATTAGCGTTGATCATGACTCAAGATGATGGGATGTTAATCAGGACTGATCAGGCACTTAACAGCCTCTCAGATGCACCGGACTCAATGTGGGGCCATAGGTAGAGAGCGCCCCCCCCCCCTTCAGATCAATGAGCCCCGTTGCTGTTGTCTGGAACGTATTGACAGCCAGCTGAAAGCAGATAAAACATTTATAGGAGCTCACCACACATCCAGTTTTATGATTGTCATATTTCACTAACAGAGTCCTCATCAGGAAAAAGACCATACAAATGAGATTTGAAGTGAGTTGTTTGTGTAAATGATGGTCAGCCCTTTCTTATTTTTATTATTTTACAAGGGCACAACTAAATATTGTCAACCGAGGCAGTGCATACAGGGCGTCTGGCTGAGAGCTAATTTTCAGCCTCGTGCCTGGTTAGGTTATTAATATCTTAATAGACAAAACCAGTTTAAACCAGGTCAGAAGAAACCAACATTGTAACAAACCAATCAACACTGTTGATTGTTCAAACATCCAAAAACAAATATGGCTGATGGATGCTTAGAAAAGTAGGTTTTTCAGCTTTAATATATCTATCATGGCTTATTGTATCTGTATTGTAATATAGCTGTTTGACAATTTATGGAAAGCTGTGGCTATTGTAGTGCACAAAAAGTTTAGGGTATTCTATCAGCCATCATGTGTAAAACCAGCTGTATCTTCCTTTCAGAATGCAAAGTACTATGCACAGACAAAAGTTAGTCACACCTGTTCTCAAAACCCACATTATCTGAACCTACTGTAACAAGTTACTCTTTAAAAGGGAGGTGGTTCATTGTCATTCAGTCTAAGTGAGTTCTTGTCTGTCTTTTTTTCTGTCTCACTGCAGTGGCTTTCCACGGACTGCAGCTGAAGATCAAGAGGGAGCTGCACAGCCCGTGTTCAGAGCTGGGCTCGAACTGCAGTCAGGAACGGCCCTTCAGACTCCAGTATGGAGAGAAGTGCCCGTACAACATCAGGTGGGCACTGCACAACAGCAGCTGAACACTTAAATATCACTCACAAATACCTAAAGTATTCTTCTGCATCACACCTCTTTTACAGCTATAAATAGTCAAAAACATTGAAAGGAGGCTGTGCAAGAACAGCCTTTCTTGTTCGGCTCCAACCGGCTGCAGAAATGCTAGCATAGAGCTTCAGTGTAAAATTATGAAACATTCTAAACTCATATTTTTGATTGAAAAATACTTTATGCTTTGACCAAGCATGTGTTTATTTTAGGCACCCTGATTGATGAGTCTTGAATCTTTTCTATTCCCTTTCAATTCAAATCATTTTCAGTCGTATAGCTATACATCATATTATAAATATCTTCTGTTTATCTGAAAACCGCTTCACAGACACTTGCTAAACATGTCAGATTAGATAAAAGAATGTGAAAAGAAAGTAAACATTGTGTAACAAGTACATGATTCCCTCTCTTCATTTCTTTGTAAAGAATGTTATTGCCTTTATGATTAAATGTTTTTTTTTAGAGTGCAATAACAGCCATTCATACTGAAATGAAAAGTAACATTAAGAAAAATGACAAAATAAGATGGCAAGCACCAGTGGTTTTTTTTTTTTTTTTATCCCTTGCTGGTTTTTTGTGTAGTTTATCAGATTTTGCTTTTGTTCATCTCTAGTGTTTTTGAACATAATCTATGTAACTTCAATAATACTAAGCGCTAAGCCACCTAAAGCATATCAACATATGCCATATGTATAGATAAAATGTATTCCCACACAATAAGTTATAAGACAAAGTGTGCATTGAACTCTTTAGGTCAAAGTTGCTACATCAGGGCCCTAGCCCAGACACTAGACACATCTTTTTCTCTTGTCCCTTCTCTTTGCCCTTAGTGCCTATGAGCAGAAGCAGCCTGCAGGAATGAAGCCCTCCAGCCCAGTGACACCCCCCTGTAGCAACCCTGTGTCTCCACTCCATCATGCCTCACCCACGGCGGCCCCAACGCCCAAATCAGACAGGACCTATGCCCATATACCGTCCTCGCAGCCACTCCCAGACAGCTCCTACTCCATGGACCACAGGTACTGCAGCCTGCAGACTTTTACATTTACATCACATTTCCATGTGGCAGTTTTACTCAGAACAGATTCTAATGAGGTCACATCAGCAGGTGCACTGGTTGGACCGAGTCCATAGTGGGCAGTGCCAAGCATTTAGTAGCATGTTATCCAACTGATAAAAGACAACCTAATGTAATGAAAACTAAATGGCACTGACAAAATTATTAGTGACTGCCCCATCATCAACATCATCACTTTCTGTATGTCTGATAATAATGAGTGCACTGATTTTACTCAGATTTCGACGTCAGCTCTCAGAGCCGTGTCACTCCTTCCCCTCCCCGCCGACAATGGCTCAGGACGGACGGCCCATCTACCACAGGCAGATGTCAGAGCCCAACATCCCCTTTCCTCCTCAAGGCTTCAAGCAGGAATACCCTGACCCCCTGTTTGAACACCCAGCCATGATGGGGGCGCCGCTGCACCACACGTACCCCACAACCATGATGATAAAGCAGGAGCCGAGGGACTTCACCTACGACTCAGGTGAGAGATTTGAACAAAATGTTGTGCTAACTACTCTGGTATGTGAAAGAAGCAAAAGCTGCCTTTTCTGCTGCCAGAGTGTTATCATTTCAGGAATGGGAGAAGACATGAGAGGAGGGGGTAGCGTTTATTGAGTTTGCCCATTATTAGGGCAGGGGATCTGGTTGGAATGGGTGTCTGCGCCAGTCGCCATTTCCTGTGTTGCTCTAATAGAAAAGAGGGGGCTACGCCTGGTCACAGTCCAAAGTCCACCCTCCCACACTTTAGTTTTAGAGAGTAAAGGGAGCTAATCATCAGCCTGTGGCCTCTGCAGAGCCTGAGTCTACATCAGGACATGAATGAACATACACCGGACTGCTGGGTTCATTCACAGAGAGGACCCAGGAGAGGCAGAGCTGGACGAGCATCTGTGTGACCAGTCAGGGAGAAAAGTCGCTTCTTCCTAGAGAAACCCTGTGGGCCTCGTTTGGCTCCTCTCTCTTTGTTGCAATAAACACTCTTGCTTTCCTAACAGCAGTGTTTGTGATGGAAAAGCCAGGGAACTGTCATTGTAGGTGTTTTTCTCACTTTCCAGTGGCAAGTTTACTTTGCCATTGATGTGTTCACTGAGTTTGACAAAGCTGTGTGGCTTCTAAATGCTAATTAACACCATTGGATAATTTCAGAAAATAACTGCTTTGCTGCTAAAACATCCTATTCCTTGACAAACTCTGCGGCTCCCAGGCTGTAGGCCATTAGCATCAAGATTAGGACTGCAACAACAGTTATTTGTATTGTCAGTTAACCTGTTATTTGATTTGTATTTTATATATATATATATATATACATACATATATAATTTTGTTTAAATTTGGTGTTTTAATCGACCAACAATCTAAAACCAAAAGATATTTCATTTACAGTCATATACAGTGAAGAAAATCATTATATTTATAGATTTTGGAAGCTAGACCCAGTGAATAATAAGTATTTCTGCTTGATAAATGGCTTAAACAGTTAAAATGAAAACTGTCATTGATTCATTGTCTGACAGTAGGTTTACTGTTTCAATGTTAGTCTGGTTGTTAGATGTACATTATGATGTCTAATAATGAGTGCAGCAGTAAAGCTCAGTTCTTAGTTTATTGTCATTTCAAGAACCACCGTAAAGGCCAGAGGACACAAAACAGATTGCAGAAGAGAGAAAGGACATATTTTTGGTCCACACTTAAAGTACCAAGAGGTCTTGCCAGTGTGTCCACTGCTGTGTGTCCAAGATGGAGCATCAGAGTGAATTTATTAGCAGTCACAATGGAGCATGTTGACTGGAGCAGGCCTGTTGGAAAGGATGGGAGGGGAGCTGGTAATTTAATTAGCAGCAATTTCCTCTACAAGCCCATTATTTTGATGAAGTTCAGAGAAATGTTTATGGGCCTAAATGAAGGGCCTCAGCCTGTTTATTGAACATTCACTTTGTAACCTGTTCTGCCGTTGTTCATCACAAGCCACAACAGTGATGTCTGTGTTGTGTGACATATACAGTAAATGGATGAATCAATCTGACAGAGTTGCAAAGCAAACTGGTGAATACAAGCTTTTGTATAAAAGTGCAAGTAATTTTTTGAGAATATTGTGATTAGACATGAATAGTTAAACTAATTGAATCACTTAATATGCACAGTGTCTTTAAGTTTGTATAAGATGATGTTTTAAAACAGAGAATCGTGACCTTTTCTGCAAAAGACCAAGAGGATCCAGATGGAAGTTAGAGCTCTTGTTAAATCCATGATGTGCAAAAGAAATAATGATACAGTTAACAAATGTTAAAGACATTTAAGCCTTGAAAAGTTAACAAGAGAGGACAAAGCGAACATTCATTGATATTAGAAAGGCACCACCACCATTTTGCACATTTTAGTGCAAATTAAATCTGCATTTTTCAATAGGATTAAGCCCCTGTAACTAAATAAGCAATAATCAAAGGTTTAAAAAACCTTATTTTTTTATTATTTATTAATCCTCTAACACAATAAACCCTGTAGGACACAGAACTGTTCTGATTTAAATGTAAACCAAGAAAATACTAATAAGTAAGAAGCTGAGAAAACAAGTTTTCTGTGCTTTAAATGAAAAACAATCTTTAGCTGTGTGTAGTTAACGTGCTGCAGTTATACAGTATCTAGTGTCAAACAAACCAACGCCTTCAGGTTCGTTTAGCTTCGATCTGAAATGCTGTATAAAAGCATCGTCTTGAGTCGTCGCATTATGAAAAAAATCGTACATCACGTCAGCTTGTTTTTCGGTAGTAAATCTTCCTCAGAGTGGAGACACTTGCAGCGTGTATTAGCGGTGTGATATAGTGAGCTCGTCCGTGGCTGGGAGCCGTTGCGGTGCCGGTGCTGGAGGCCATATTCTTCAATCAGAGCCAGTGGTGCAGTGAGTGAACAGGCTTTGACTGCTCTCAGATAACTGAGATAGTGTTCTTAATGCTGCCTTCGGGCCCTTTAACACCCACTCTCCCATTCTTGCCTGGCTTTCAGCAGAAGTGCCTAGCTGCCATTCTGTCTACTTACGGCAAGACGGCTATCTGGCTCACACTAACAGGACTGAAGGTACTGACGGCATGAGTGAATGCTGTGATGGTGCACTTTGGGTATTTGCTGAATATTACATCAAAATCCTCTTTTATCTTGTTTTCTAGGTTGTATGTTTGACAAAGTGGCGAGGCATTTTTATGACGATACCTGCGTGGTGCCTGAAAAGGTTGAAGGTGAGTCCTCCCGGAGAGCACGGAATATTTCTGAATACTGCCACTCAGCAGTGGTCCTGTAATGGTCCAACATGTTTGCTCTAGGTGACATCAAGCAGGAGTCAGGCCTGTACCGCGAGGGCCCATCATACCAGCGCAGAGGCTCGTTGCAGCTCTGGCAGTTCCTGGTGGCTCTGCTGGACGACCCGTCCAACTCCCACTTCATCGCATGGACCGGCCGCGGCATGGAGTTCAAACTCATCGAGCCAGAGGAGGTGAGATGCTCGGAGAAACATTATCATCATCACATTTGTTATTTTTGCCACATCATTTATAGATTTTTTCCAACTATTTTTTACACAAGCCTTTAACTGGTTTCGGGTTATCAAATGTGAAGATTTTCTGCTTTTCTTAGTCTTATATCACTGTAAATTAAATATCTTTGGACAGTTGGTCAGGCTGAGCAAGACAGAGTAATTATACATAATTATATTTTTTATAGATTTTATAGACTAAGGAATTTAAAAAAAATTAACTGATCAATAATAAAAAAAGAAATCATTAGTTACTGGCCTAACTCACCTGTGCTTAGCTGAAAATGTAGCTGTTCAGTATGTCACGACATACAAAACAGGTTGCGTGATAAATCAAACGGCGTCAGAGGTCGACATCTGAAGAGGAATGAATTATGTCCTCTGCTCTTGAAGTGGCCAGGCCAGGTCTGGCTCTGCCATAACAGTTTCTCTTTATTTATCAGACCACATCCAACCAACTCACCCTCATGGTCAGCCCCTGCTAAATATTTCACAGGACATATTCCTAAAAATATAACTCATGTTGACAGTTGGGCCTTTTGAAATGGAAACAGAGGCTGGGTCTGTGTGCGCCCACATCACACACAGTGGGGCTCAGTCACTGTTGCTCACAGCTGGAGGACGGAGGAGGATGCAGGGTGCAGGCGGGGGGTGGGACTGTAGAAAGTAGGAGATAGAGGGCTACCTGGCAGTGGTCCACGCAGCCTGACGGTGTCTGGAGGCACAGGCCAGCTGCAGCTAACAGGGGTCCCCATTCATGCCATCAGTTGACCAAGCACACTCACTTGGAGACGCCGCAGACAAATGATAGCTAGCAGCTTCTGCCTTTTCACCGGGGAGGTGTAACATGTCTATCAGGACAAAAAGTGTAGGAAGAGAAAGGCAACAAGAAAAGGAAGAGAACTGGAGTCAAAACAGCAGAGGAGAAGCTGAAGGGAGCGCCGTGGGGCTGTGGGTTTGGACTGCGACGCCGGGTGGTGGGTGGTCTGGTAGACAGGTGCTGTAACATCTGCTGCCTCCTCCGCTGAGTGTATGACAAGCTCCTAATGAACACATCTCTGGTCAGGTCTGCTCAGGTTGGATGCACTCTAATTACTGTTATTAGGAAAATATGGATTAATAAGTTTGCTTAACATATCAGCTGCCACAGTGCTCTTGTCAGGAAATCAGGTTGACCGTGTTAGTCTGGGTTTGAAACGTCTGCGTTTTGGCATCCTGCTCGTTGTTTGTTTACTGACTGCCTTTGTCTTGTTTCTCTGTGCATGACAAAGGTGGCACGGCGGTGGGGGATACAGAAGAATCGGCCGGCGATGAATTATGACAAGCTCAGCCGATCGCTGCGTTACTACTACGAGAAAGGAATCATGCAAAAGGTAAAAAGAAAACCTTAAAATACAGAGGATATATGGCAATAAAAAAAGAAAAGAACAAATGCACCACTGAAAGACACCCAGAAACATCTGTTTAGCTTTCCCCAAATTGATCTTTAATAGCCTGATTCATTCCACATATGGGGCATGTGCTAACACTCCTCCCCATGGTAGCTTATATAAGGAGGGGGGGTGTCTTAAAAGTGGAGAAGATCATGGGAGATTGAGATTTGTTCATGAGCACTTTAAAATGTCACTGTTGTACCAGTGACTGATTAAAGATGGTGGGGAGACTTTGGCTAAAAGAAATCAAATAGTTTTATTCTAACAGGAAGTAATGCAATGCTTTCACTGGATGTTAATCAAAATGTTTCTTCAAAAATTTTAGTTATACCTGAGGATGTTTCACCACCCTTCATAATTTGTTGCATTTTTCTCCAGCTGTAAGCAGCTCCTCTTGTTCTTATGTGCAGTCAAGCAATCAGTCAAACATCTTTCAAGTGAAAGTGCTCTGCAGCTCTACAAGCTAAGTGCAAATGTCAACAAAACAATGTTTTAAGAGACTAATGTGCATAACAAATAAAAATAAACCGTATTAATATAAGCAGTAGAATAGATTTCATAATGGGGGAATTGTGTAAAATGTACTTACAACTAAGTATTTTTTCTGATTGATTTAGTCACCTTCCTGCTGTGAACACAGCTCACTGATTGATTTCAACCTTAGGTGGTGGAGCTAAAGAGCTACAACAATCAGGCAAACTTAAACAACAGAAGGAAGTTGTAAACCACAAATCTGTTTCCAAGAACTGTTTGTGCAGCCCAATGTCCAACAGGCCTTAAACGTATCACACAACTCTTCTTCAGTAGACGGCACTTGGTCTACCAAATGTTTTTGGTTAATTTGTCTTCACCAGGGTGGCGTTTGGCACTGAATGGACTGACATGCACCTGACTGCCTTAAGACATGCAAGAGATTTGACTATGTGGTACATATTTTGCAAAATGGGTTTTCAAATGTTTTAACCCACTGTTTAAGATGAGAGGTTGCATTTGCTAGAGAATATTCTGAAGCTTGTCATATTTGCATTATAAAACTCTGTATCCACTAAGAGTATTTTACAAAGATGCATTTTTTAAGATGATGATCTAGCTATAGCTTACATCGGTCTGCTCTTCACAATCTGTGCATCCTCAAAGTTAGAAATTGTCCTAACCAAAATTTGCCCTTCCTATATGTGCTCACCTTCCTCCACCTCCAGGTGGCTGGGGAGAGATACGTGTACAAATTTGTGTGCGACCCTGAGGCCTTGTTCTCCATGGCATTTCCCGACAATCAACGGCCGGTGCTGAAGACGGACATGGAGCGGCAGATCAACGAGGAGGACACGGTGCCGCTGTCACACTTTGACGAAAACATGGCATACGTGCAGGAGGGGCCCTACTGCCAGCCACACCCCTACAGCGAGGGTTACGTGTATTAACATCAGCCCCACGACCACACACACTAAAACGCACACCTCCACCCTGCCCTTCCTCCCCGCCTCCTCCTAAGTCCGACTGTCATGTTCTCTGATTCACAATTGCTCCGGGAATAAGACTGAACACACACATGCAGCGGAGCTTCCCCTCTCTCTCTGTGTCTCTCTCTGTGTCTCACACACACATCCTCTTGTCTTTCTGACGTCCAAGCCACACTGCAGGATGGAGAGTGCACTTTATGGACAGGAGCAGCGCGGTGTTACCTGCCAGGGGTTAGGCTATGTGTTCGCCTTTTTATCATTGTTTATGGTTTGTACATTAATGTGGGAATCGTTCTGGGGGTTTTTTTTGTTGTTTTTTTTTTTTTATTTATATGATTTTGAGCACGTGGCGCCCTGGTGAGAAAGAACTCAACGGCTAATTCACAGTCGCCCCAGGACTCAATCATAGGCTTTGATTTCCAGGAAAAGAGACAGTCTCGTCTACACACATGCAGCAAATCGAAGGATGATCACTTTTGTTCGACTGACCCTTAGTTTGTCCTCAGACAGCCATCATGTACTTTCATGCTCATTTAAGTGAATACTGGCGAACTATCGTACTGATACTTTTATGGTGAAGTGACATGATTATAGACTTGAAAAAGTAATGTGATAATAAAAGAGACATTTAGCTACCATCAGTGAGAACTGCCATGCCAGCGGTTTGAGCACAGCACCCGTCCGTCAGTGATTTCTGCCCCTCCGCCAGCCAGACTGTAGATCTCATCATGTAGGTGTTTTTGCTGTAATGACATCAATTCCAGTGGCTTGTTCTCTCAACGGCCAAAAGCCTCATGGGTTAGTGAAGATGCACTCGAACTGTGCTGAAGAAATGTATGAATTTTTTCTGCATCACATGTGAACGCCGTGGGTTTAGGATAATTGTTAAAGATACAGGCCGCTGTAAAATAACCAGTTCACTGTAAACCGACATTTCCTTTGTATTCTGAAAACCATTAAAGCCACTCATTTGTCCTTCAGGTGTTTTTCAAGGAGTAACAGATGAACGTGTATGTACAGTTAAAGTGGACACAGCAATCAGGACAATGTGTGCATCCCCATATGAAAAATACAGAAGTGATTTCATTGGTATAAACAATAAACAGCTAAAAAAATATCCAACAAAATCAAAAAATTCCCTTAATTTTTGTCTCTTTGTTTGGCTCCAGGGGAATATTTTGCTTAAAAATGTTGCATTGCCATTAATAGGGTTGCTTTTTGGCAAAAAGGTATGAGAAATATTTAGAGTTTTATAATGAAAAAAACATGCTATAACAAAAATAGTGTTCCATTGTATAATCAGGTAAATGCACCTTTTGTTGCCGCTTCAAACTGTAAGTGTACTTTTTTTAGATTTCAGATAAAAAAGAAAAGCGCAACAGCTCCAGCCTGCTAGTCTGGATTTCTCATTTTAAATTCTGTTTAATGTTTTTTTTTTTTTTTTACTTGGTTAAAATCTCAGCATTAACCGTTCTGTCTGAGCTTTGTTCTCAAGGGCCACATGTCTGGGATGAAACTGGCAATAGCAGAGATTCTGTAATAAAATGGCTCTGAAAAACAAATTTATCACTATTTTTCAGATGTTTTACATAATCAATCATTACCTGAAAGCTTTGCTGTTGTGAATTGTGCCATTTCCTCTTTTGGCAGTGTTATCAGTTGTGTGCATCTGATAGACAACACAACTTAGTGGTGCTTTCCACACTCAGACTTGTTGTTCATTACCTCTCTCCTGGCAGAAAAGATGTGATTTAGGGCATAAACTTCCAGACCGGAAGTGGAAAAACACCAAAGCAAGTGTGTGTATAAAGAGTAATAGATTATGGACTCTTGTCAATTTCCAGGTTGGAGTGAAAGCTCCAAAGCATTTAACCAAAGTGACACCTGAGGAAAAATCAATGGCTAATTTAAGACACCACTTTTTTATGTAGGTGAATTGTTTCTTTCCTTTTGTTTCTGGTGCTCATATGAGGCTGACAGTAATGAAAAAAACAACTAACAATCCCTTAAAGTTATTATTTCCTTTTGTGAAGTGTCACTATTGTTAAAAATCAATGACTAATTTAAGGAACCATTGTTTAATTGGTTCCACTGATGGGAAAAATGAAAACGGATGTGTAAGTAATTGAAAAAAAAAACACGACTTGCCTTAATTTGTCAGAGCAGGTTACAAGCCGACCCCATTACAGTCCCCGGCTTGGATTTTCTTATCGATTGTCTGTAGAGCAGGGAATCGCTCTTAACTTTAAACACCTGATTGCTTCCCCGAGGATATTTAACACCAGCTAATCTGACATACACAGAACCCAAGCATCAACACTTTTAATATGATGAATCACACTTCTAATTTGTGTTTTCCCTTTAAAATGGCAATAATCTATAACCTGTCCTGTACGTTGCGCACACAATGTTACCAACATGTCTGTGCAGATTCTCAGTCATCCAGGTCATAGTAAGCTGAAAAAAACTTAGAAAAAATGAACTGGACTAGATTTCTAGGTCGAAGATGTTTCACCTCTCATCCAAGAGGCTTCATCAGTTCTGACTGACTGGTGTTGAGCCGGAGATATTTATCCTCCTCGGTGGTGTTTCAGTTCTTTGAGGGCCAACAATGTCCTTTAACGACTGAGTCGTTATAGCCCAGTATCGGACCGATAAATATCTCCGGCTCAACACTAGTCAGTCAGAACTGATGAAGCCTCTTGGATGAGAGGTGAAACGTCTTTGACCTAGAAATCTAGTCCAGTTGATGTATTTCTAAATTTTTTCAGCACAATGTTACCAAGTGTCTTGTGAAAAACTACTGAGTGCATAGGAGATTGTAACAAACAAGATAATTTTAGTGTAATTCTTTCAGTGTAGTTTGCTCAAGGAAGTCTTTACAAATTGTACCCTCATTTTTAAAATCACGTCTAATTTTAAAAACTGTTTGAAGAGTCTCTGCGAGGGCATGGCTTGTAATTGTAATTTAAAAATGAGCATGTAAAATGTGATGTTAGTTACACATTAAATTAAAATCTCAACAGTTTAACAGGTAAAATTAGCTCCACCAAATGCAGATATGCAGCTTACATGAGGATGTGTCAGTATAGTAATATAGTAATGTATGCTCTAAGTACACTTCACTGATAATACTATAGTAAAAGTTAGGATTTTTACTTGGAATATAGTATTTTTACTTAAGTAAAGGATCTGAATCCATCATCCAGCACTGCTTCTTTGTAGAGGTCAGATTTTCTAGAAGCACTCTGGTAGGGGGGGGCTTCACTATTTGTGAAGTCCTGGCTGAGACTCTGTGTGGGGAGAACCAGTTCTGGCTGCCGAGGCTGCCTGCGGTTTGACTTTTGCTGTTCAAATGAAGTTCACGGTTACAGACCGAACACAAATGACAGTGGTTTATTCAAACTCACATCATTGAAATCCTATGCAAACTCCTATGCGCTTTAAATATGTGGTGAGCCTCATGTGAGCTGCCGACGAGGTGACAACACTGCAATGAAGAGTCTTAAGGTCACTTGTGAGATTACTCGTCTTACACCTTTTTAAGAAAATCACCATATTAATCCTGTTATCTGGCTCTGGTTCAGGGAGTCAGGGCCTCAGCAATCAACATATTGTCCATTTATGGACATATGCTTTACATCCTGTGCCACCGGCCAGATGCTCCCCTCCTCTGCTGCACTACCAACTAAAATTCTGTATATCTAAACTGTGAATTGTGGTCCTCCCCCACTGTAGCAAACAGATGGCCACTAGATCTTGAGTCATCACAAACCCATTACGAGAGTGACTTGTCCTCAGCCGGGCCGCCTTGATTCGTGCCCGATGGCTCTTGCCAGTGTTTGCTCAGGCTCTTAAGTCATCCTCAGGCTTCATGACACACCGTGTTTGCTCAGGTTAAATGGCTTGTGTTGCCCGTGGAGTTGGCTGATTGGCTGTGACACTTCAGTATTTGATGAGCGAAATGACACCGAGCGGCCCACGGTTGCAGCAAATGTGTTTGGCTGTTTGAAACAAGTTGGCTTTTAATACAGTGTGTTTACACACCAAAAAGCCCTAAGTGTGTTTCTATCTGTGTTGCCAGGGTCTATCAGTGGCCAGACCAGTGAGCATAAATCATTCAGGGGTAATTCAGAGGAACAACAGAGGCTCTAAGAGGAAAAAGGAGGGAAATTATAAAGCCTCTATAATGGAGACCCCCATTACAGCTGCTGGTCCAGTTTAGGACGGCAGTCTAAATGGTTTTATTATTGGTGAGGCTCTATTTTGGCCAGCCAACCAACACTAAGCCTACATCCAAAATCACTTAGTGAACCCTATTTTACAGTACTTCTGAACACAATTCTGAGTTGTAATGGAAAACTTCCCAAAATATGTCATTTTCTCTAAAAGTTACAATTCCCAAATCCAGTCTCAAGACATTTTCCATTTTGTTTTTCCATTTCTTTTTTGTCAGTTACAGAACACACGGCAGTGTGCTGTAGGACACGCACCGGGGTCATAGTTGTGTTCGGCAGTAGTCACTCCAGTGTGCGGATCAAAGGTTTTAAAGAAGCTACCTACTGCTGAAACAAGTGTTGTAGTGGTCTAATTTACTAAGGCTACTGTGTTTTTAGGGAGTTCCGGGAAACCTCACTGGTTCCACACTCATTACACTTTTCACTGTCTTGCTGATCATCTTTCTGTTCTGGTGCACATGAAACACAAAAGCCTGTGACAGTAATAAATAGCCTCCGTGATCCAGGTTTAGAAAGCTGTGAAATTGGATATAGAGACGCTCTCCGGAGCTGCAGGTTAGGAGTTGTTTCAGACTAGACTGTGGGCATCATCTAATCCGATCACTAGGAATGTCAGACGGGCTAATTGCATAACAGACCCGCTCTCCTGTGCCCACAGGGCAGTGGTGGTGGGACACTGATGACATGCTCCTTTTGAATGAAGATTTATCAAGTCTTTAGTTTCACAGACGCTCATAAAAACACCTTTATGTCTTTGGCTTGTCAAAACATTAGTACATTAAACAAGTGATGATGATACGTGATGATGATGTTATTTGGTAGTGCTTGAACTGCAATAGAGACACTCCAACAGAGACAGCTTAGGTAGGCTGCTCTTTGTAGAATTTTATTGGGTCTAATCATACTGGTTTTGCATATTTGCACACAACTCTTCATAAAATGTTATTGAAGAAACAATATTACAGGAGAACGCAACATTAGTACAAGGGCGCAGGCCCTTAATGTAAATGTCAGAAACGAAGTGCATAATGCGGCCGAAAAGTGTTAGGTGAACTCAATTAAATGGCCAGACGAGGAAGTGTAAAACAAAACCGTCTCTTTATTAAGAGAACTAACGTTGAACAAAAGAAAACCATACAAGACACGGTGAAAACACAAAACTCACATGTCCTTAACAGTTCGAGGTCAGAGCCAGGAAACACATCCAACAGAGGTGATCCAAAATACGTAGTCCAGAGGGAAGTCCGATATCATACACTGTGGCAGCCCGAGACAAGAGGGCAAAGCAGAAACGAATATACCAAGGTAACAGTCCGGGTCAGAAACACAAAATACCAATACCGAAGAAAATGCTGGAAAG